TCCTTGTATTCACATTCTAACCTTTAAGAAAGACCAAAACCCCCCTTAAGTATTCACTTTTTTTGCATCAAGGAGTAGTTATATGTCATTCTCTTGTTCTGAAATTTCAAAAAATATCATTCTCAAGCCCTAGAATTGCTAATATCAAGTTCGGTCAAGGTTAAATAAAAAAGGTAAGCTTCTTAACTTGCATTGTTAGCTTTTCATTCTTGTTAGTTAATTCTTAATTTGTGGAAGCTTCTTGCGATTTTGGAATTAGAGGGAGAGGAGTGAGGGTTTTAGGGGTGCCTAACATTTTTCCTCTCCTAATCATATATAATTTAGAATATCCTAGTTGAGTGCCTTTTAGATGGAGAATGGAGTTACTATTTTTCAAAACAAAATCAACTTTCCATAATTTATAGAGGACCCATTTCCTCTTAAATTAAATGGGTGACGACTCTTTGTCTTTGAGCTAGCCATGAGCTTCTTGAAGCTCACACACATAAAGCAAGAATTCTAGAGTATTCCTTAACTTAAACGATTCTTTGAGACATGTCCTGTAGATTTCTCCCCTTTGGCACATGTCTCTCAAGATCATAAGGCAATTAGAACACGATCTCAAGTCTTCTTAGAGAGCAACACGTGTAGGTACAACACCCAAGTACAACCAATCATGATTTCCTTGAGACACCGATCACAGTTCTAACACTCTAATCTTAACTTGCTTATACTCCTCCGCTTGTTAGGTTTACCTTGTAAGCTATGCAATGCCTCACAAAGTCCATAAAGTGAGCACAACTCCACGAGACAAGTTATTCCACTTGAGCAAAGCAGACTTGTTATACGGGGTCAAGGTTTCACGAGGCAGCTTACAAGGTGTTGATTTGGTGAGGCAGTTTTCAAGAGGTAGATCATTGCAGCTTATCAAGCGAAGTAACTTCCACAAGGCAATATTTAATGGCATGACGATGTGATTTTTATGAGATTGATTTATTACAATCTCACGAAGTGACTCACAAGATTTAATTGATGCGGCCTTACGATTCTAGGATGTTTTATCTTCACGATGCCAACTCAATTCCATTTCATTTGCATTCATTTATTGTGTCATAAGGTCTTTGTTTTGTCATCTGCTTTGAGTTTTATCACACATATTAGAGAAGATTTACTTTTTTACCCCCAAATATATACGTATTGTCTTGCATTATGTTATCAAAATTTAAATTTGTTATTATTTAAATAAATAAATATAGTTTTTAGTATAATCGAGTCTAGACCTGATAGACCCAACTATTAAATAGAAGAGTTCTATGTCTATGATTTTTCCCCATTAATAATTGATTTGGGAGTGATTCTACTTGGACCTGACCTGACTCAACCTGTTGATAGCCCTAGTACTTATTGCCACCATGCCTATTTATAGCCAAGGTGGTCATTGAATGTCAAATTGATGAACTTTGTAACATGTTTCCACGTCGACCTCCATTTACTATCCGCATTGTTCGAATTGGCACCACATGATTGAATGTTACTCAAGCATTAAATGAGGTGAAACACTTAACTACGCTCATAACTGATGGGAATGAATTCACCTTCAATTGCACGAGAGAAAATTCCTATTGTGCCCCCAAAGTTTATGAAATGACAAGGGTACCCCATGGCGTGCCACATGTCATAATTTCACTGGCCTAATGTATTTTGTCATATCACATGCCCCCATAGGTTGAGGTTTCAATTATTAGGTCATCCAATATTAAGTCAATTTGACTAAAGAGAGTATGGCGTCAATACATGAAGTACCATTAACCCTTTCTACTTGGGAGACATTTTCAAGTTGTACTTGCATAACGTGTTGATGGTCAATTCGACTAAGGTTCATGTTAGTCTTGTGTTGATGTGCAACTTATATGGCTTTGGCTAATGCTCTTATGGTATTAGGGGCTAGCTAGGTCAATGTGATGCCATAGTGGTTTAGGACCTCTACTACCTGGAGATGAAGGGGAAACCTTAGCCTGACCCAAAGGTGGTGCTTGTATATGCCCAATTCTCCCTCTTGGCCTCTCCTTAAGCTCAGGATCCTAATTACATATAAGTTTAAGATGAAGTATTGCTGATATAGCCTCTCTAATCTTCAAACCAGGGTGCACCCTTTACTTCAATTACTTTAACCTCATTGGTTTCTTTAAGCTCCTTATCCTTGGTTGCCCTAACGAGTAGCAACGTTGGTGCATTGCTACATCCTCATCACCTCGACCTGAGACTAGACTCTTAGACTTGTCACGGTTAACATTAGGTCTCCTAGTATATGGGACTCTAACATTCACCTCAGGTGAATAATGCCTAAAAGTCATATTCTTAGATTCCAACCTCAAAGACAAGGGGGGAGTGCCAACAGACTCCCGAGTTGGTTGGTCATACTCCTCACGGTTTAAAGAATCATAAGACAATAAGACTCGAGAAGAGAACTACTTACTAATGCAAAAAGAAGACTACAAGGTCGAAAAGAAATATGAAGGGAAGACGAACCAAGGTAAGTAGCCTAAACAATTAACTTAAGCGTAACAAGTTGAACAATTAACTTAAAAGTGTGAATGATAGTGTGGAACTTTTGTTTAATTAAAATATCACAAATTTTGAATTTGATCCCTCTTTAATTGTAAGGACAAAAGTATAATTTGAATAATCACTTTTTTCCTCATTCAAATCCCTCTCATTAAGTATCATATTTAAGGTATTAATTTCCATTTAACATTTATTTAATCCCTTTATTGACTAGAATACCCTTAATTTTGGATTTGGTCCCTTTCTAATTATGAGGGCACAAATGTAATTTGAATTACTATATTCTCTCTCATTAAGTCTTATATTTAGAGTATTAATTCCCATTCTTTCATTAAATATTACATTAATTAGTCATATAAAAGAAAAAATTAGTGTAACAAAGAATAATTGATATTATTGATGATAGAAATAAAATACAAATTTAAGAACAACAAAAATGAAGTTGTTTTCCTATTTGGTGGAAAGCTAACAATTCAACCTTTTGGGTCAAAAGTGCCCATTGTTGATGTCATAACAACAACAACAACAACAACAACAATAATAATAATAATATAAAAACACACAAAATTATAAAAATACAAAAGAATTGTAAAAAACATTTAGGCACATTTCTAATATCGTATGTTCATCATATGAGACAAAAATGTTTGACAACTAAGAATAATTTTTATGAACATTGAAATATAAAAAATTGTAAAAAGCTTTAGAAACACATTATTTACTATTATCATCGTCATCAATTTCCATGTGCAAAGCATGGCGGTTTGAATTGTATAATGAACACCACTAACCTAATCCATGTTTGTCTATGAAGTTTGGATTAGCTAGATGCCTTAGCTATATAGCAAGTTATGGAATCAATGACAATGCCAAACACCAATGTTAAAATACATGAGATCCACAGTAAGGAGAAAGGATTGGCTGAATGCGATGGAGAATTATCATTGGTTCCACAACCCATTGAACAACCATCATGCTTAGCTAATTCAAATTTCACAATAAAGGGTTAAATTTTTGTGGGTCCTATTTATATGTATTTTATCACCTGTGTGACTATTATGGATTCCACAACCTCTTGAACAACTATTGCATTCAGCTAATCTAATCTAAATCTGCTCCTTAGGCCAATTTCACAACACGTCTTGGCATAGGCCTGAGCTGGCCTGCACCTTGGGCCTATTTTGCAAGCCCAAGCTTGTCCCTACATGGGTCTAGGTCGAGCTTACAAGCTTTCTAGGCCAATGATATTCAGTAATAAAAAATTAATTATTAAAATTTTTAATTTAAAATTAAATTAAATAAATGAAATTTAATATATGCAAAAAAATGACACAAGGCCAAGGTAAATTGGGCTTTACTAAGCTTTGGACCTATGCAAAAAAAAAAAAAAAGCATAAGCCTAATTTAATTATTAGAGTTGGTTTGGCTTGGCTTACACATCCTTTTAGGCATCCCCATTATTGAGCAATGTGGGACTTGGAATAACACTAAATGATGAGTGCTACCATTTAATATTTTTCCAAGTCCCACATTTCTTAGGGAATGAGAATGAAGGCCCTCCCTAAGAGAACAATGTACATACTTGAGTTGGCAAGTATTCACACATGTATTGACATGTCTTAACTGATTAATATTGATTTATATGTTAAAACTTAAAATTTTTATGTATTATATAAAATAATAAACATTTGATATAAAATAAAATATACTTATATATAACATATATAATATATATTTAAAAATATATATTATGTTATATTGCAGGTTGAGTTGGGCCTGAAGTACTGGGCCCAAGTCGGATCCAAATTTTTCTAGGCTTGATACGGGCCTGGGCCCAGGCTCGGAAATTTATGGACTTTGCCGGGTCGGTCTAAGAATGATCACCCCTAGGCGTAATTGTGTGTGAGTCATGGGAGATGAGGTGCGCTCTCCGATGAGCAAATTCCGATTCCAGCTAATGCAATTTCAGCGAGGTTTCACGACAGATATATTAAAGCCACCACATCGAAAAATTACAAAATTTTTATGAATCCGACTCTACTAACAGTCTCTCCTGACACAAGACGTTTGAGCCGCACATCGTGAATATCTTTCGAACTATGCTTCAAATACTTGGCGGGATATGCTCTGCGGTCGGTGTGAGGAGCAAATCCCAATTCCATTTTAATTTGTTTTCCGAAGACGCAGCCAAAGCGGCAAAGGAAATTCAAAAACACGCCCTCGTGGATACATCATAGAGTTCACATCTCCGCCCCACAACGTTCCACAGCAAAGTGTGATAGACTGTCTACATGGCATATTATGATTGGCTTCTCTGTCTTAGCTGCAACATCGTTGGCGGGGGTCAAGCCAAGGGATACGAATACGATGAAGGCTATTTACGGGATTCTAGAAAGTTCACACGCTCCACTCTAGGGCAATCTCGTAATTCCAGGGGGTTTACCAAGTTAGACTACAGACCATTCTTGTGCAGTTCCGCATAAAAGCGGTAAGGTTGCCGGCCCCGGTTTGCAGGGTTCAAGCGCTCCACCGGCGGCGGCACCACCACTAACGTGCGCACTGCGCACTTCTCTGATTCTCTCCTGAGCTTTCTTTCCTTCGGTTCTCTCTCAATCGAGGTCAGCAGCAACTTCGAGTCCATCACTTCACTCTCTGCCTTTAAAAGTAACGAGCAAAATTCATTCTTTATCTTTCATAATTGGTCGCCCTCTCTGCTGAAAAAGAATATTTGCTTTTTTTGCGTTTGCCTTTAAGTCACCGATCCTAAGGAATGTTTCAAAATCTCTTCCATTCTCACAAGGGAAGAAAAGTCAATCCCAAAGATGAACTAAGATAAATATTTCCGATCATCTCCTGCGGATGTGATTCTTTTCTCAGACGAGTTTGATAGAAGAGTCATAAGAAGAAAAGAAGGTTCTTGTTTTATTTTCAGTAATTTTTTGTTTTCTTTTGAGAGATACCTATCTCTTTTGGGTTGTTAATCGGGAGTTTGAGTTCCGGAAAAATTTAGAGATGGACGCTGCTGTTCTTGACGATATAATTAATCGGCTTTTGGAAGCTCGAGGTAAACCAGGGAAACAGGTGCAACTCTCGGAGTCGGAGATCCGGCAGCTCTGCCTCGTCTCCAAGGAAATTTTCTTGCAACAGCCCAATCTATTGGAGCTTGAAGCGCCCATCAAGATTTGCGGTAATTTTGTAGGAACGCAGTGCTTTCTTTTTGATTAATATCTATTCTGTATTTGACTTTAGTTGCCTGCGCTGAAATGGGATGTGATCAATTTTGACTTAAAAGTTAAAACTAAGAAAATTTATCTTCTGGGTGTGGATCAAAATTGGATGTTCGGAAATGGACTGTTTCGAAATATCCAAGTTCTACTAAGGAATATCTGTTCGGAAATGGACTGTTTCGAAATATCCAAGTTCTGAATATTAACCACAATTGCCGCTTTGTAATGTCTTGCCTTCTGTTTTCTGGGGAGTGTGGGTTGAGGCAAATAGGCTAGTGGATGACGATGGGTTTTGAAGTTAGTTATGTTCCTCCCTCTGAAATTAGTTATGTTTATTTTTGTAGTTTAGCTAATGGAAATAGTCTTGATTATAGGTTATATTTGCTTCTTTTGGAATGTATTATGTTTAGTGCTAATCTTTTGAAATTTGAAAAGAATATTCGTATCTATAAATAGGAGTTGTGCTGATTATGGCAAATATAGTGCTATTCTTAAATACTAATTACTCCCTCACCAAGATATACACTTAAGGGTGAGTTTGATGTAGTATTGATGTCATACTGTCATCACCAGGTGGGAATTATGATTGCAAGGTGTAAATTGATTGTTTGCTTCAAGTCGTTGATGAAATTATTAGTTGATGTTCTTATTTGTGTTTCTTCTTCTAGATATATGTGCTTAGACCTTTGCTGTTTTGGGCATTATTTACACATAAACATGTTAATATTTTTGCAGGTACATCTTTGATTTGGCTTATGATTCTCAGTGTGGTTCTCCTGATAATTCTAGAGTTCTTTCTAATTTCATATTGGTTTTTGAAAGTAAAATGGTTATCACTTTTATTATGGTGATTGGTGAAATTATCAAACACAACCGTGTCTTGGTTAGCATGCCAGTAGTTCTCTCTAGGGTTTGGAAGTGACTTATTGATAAGTTACCCCAAATCTTATATAACAAGTGTATGATGCTTGAAATGCATTCTGCTCTGAATCCAATATCATCTTGAAAGATAAAAGAACTAATCCGATAAAATAAAATAAGAGATAAAAGAGCTGAGTCATTTGAACCTTGTTTGTAAGGTGGAAAAACCAGTGACCCTTGGATTAGTGTTTTTCTTGCTAGGCATCCTCAGTGTAAGCAACAGGTTTTCCCACCATCATCAGATTACATCCATTCGCTTGATGCTATTGCACTACTAATTCCCCATCATGCTTCAAAATAGCTATCTCCTATCTACCCCTTGTTTTGCTAACATATTAGCCAGCCCATTTGCTGACCTATAAACCCATTGTATACCCACCACCATTTCCCTCATTAGCACTTTTATTTCCTTCATTACATTCCTGTATGACCAGGGAGTCAATTCTTGATTCTTCAACAATTGCACCGCCATTTTAGAATAATTCCTTTCTATTATCATATTTCTTAGGTTGCAAGATTTAGCCACCTGAAGTCCTTGCATGACTGCAGTTATCTCTGCTAGTATGGAATTATCTTGGCCAATAGGCACGAAAATATTGCCAAAATGTTCTCATGGGAGTCCCTAAAGGCTCTCCAACACTAGGAGGTCCTGGATTATCTCTACCACAACCATCAAAGTTCATCTTCACCATGTCTGGAGGTGGTGACCATTGGGATGGGACAAAGGACTTAGCTGATTAGGAATTTGCTACCAAACTCCAACTTCTCATAGTCATCAGTAGAGAAAGGGTCAAGCAGCCTCAATGTTTTAAACCAATGAGCCACCCTTATTGTGATGCTATTAATTATGACGCTCTTGGTTTTTGTCTTATTGTTGAAAGTCTTTCTTTTCTTTCTTTTCCAAATTGTGCAAAAGCTGGTTTCTCTCGTGCATCTCTAAAGAATTCTAGCTCTTATATTCCGATAATTGAAAAGAGACCTACTACATCAGTTGGAGAAGTGCCCCTCAACCAAATAGATCAAAGAACCATACCCAAGTTCTAACTACAAAGGGACAGAAGATTAGCATTTTCTCCATTTGCAAAGCACAAAAGTCATTGCAAGGAGATAAGAACTGGCCTGGTATTTTCCTTTGAAGATTCTCAGAAGTGTTAATTTTCAAATGGAGGGACTTTCCCAATAGAAGGCCCTGACCGTAGGTGGCACTGATCCACTCCAAATTTCATTAATCGGAAAGGGTTGAAAAGAAGAAAAGTGAGGCATTTAAAGCAGCTAAGGAGGCATATGAGAAGGTCCCCAAGGGAGCTAAGGTGTAAATCCTTCCATTGACCTTAGAGGGATCAAGGAACATATCCCCTAAAACTTTAAGAAAATATCTAAGACATAGGGGGAACCTCTAAATTCCATAAACCCCTTCTAAACCCAAAATCCCAATTTAAACCAGTTGAGGAGGTAGACACAAACTGAGAATCAGTCAAAATTTTAAAGGAAGAGAGGGCATACAAGCAAGGGAAACAATTTTTAAGAAAACTTCCCACCCCCACCAAATATCCTCTCAGATTTTGATTTTATTGCTAGAACAAAGGTCGTATTAAATGAAACTAAAAAAAAGAAATCCTTAGGGAGGACCTGAAGGCTTGGAGCAAATCAGTGTTTGGTAATGCATTTGCTAGAAAGAAAGAGGTATTGGGGAAGATGGAAAAACTAGACATTAAATAGGTTGGAGGAGGAGGACAATCTTACAAGGATTGGGTGGGAGGAAGGGAAAGCCATAAAATGGAACTAGACAGACTTATCCACTTTGAAGAAGTTTCTTGGTGGCAACAGTGATTTAAAAGGCGCGCCTAGGCGCATAGGCGAGGCGCATTTCAGGGTAGGCGCCTCGCCTAGGTCCTAGGCGCAGCCCTATAAAAGGCGCACGCCTGGTGCATCTAGGCATGCGCTTGGTGTGCCTTGCGCCTCAGCAGGCATGCACCTTTTGAAACTTTGATGTTTTTTTGCTTTTTTTGTGTCTAGTGGGTGGGCCGGGGGCTTTGTCCCCGGACCCCCATGCCATGCCCCTTGAGGCAAGCCCAAACAAGTCCATGTTAGGTCTTAAATTCTTAGTTCTCACACAAAAAATAATGATTTTGTAGTTTTAATTGCTTTTTAAGAAGACATTTTATTAGGATGAATGAACAACATTACCAAATAGGGGGGGTTCTCGAAGCTCTGGTGAGCGTGGACTTGTTTGTGTTTGCCTCGAGGGGCATGGTACAAAGGCGGCTTGTAGAATCAGGAATGTAATATGTTTTACATCACATTAACTACTTGAAGTAGTGCAATTGAGAAAAAAAGAGATTGTGGGTTTTATATGCTTGAAAATGTTTTATATATTTGATTTTATTTTGAAATTATCATTTGAATATGCTTTACATGTTGTATTTATGTATTTTAATATTAGATAATAGGTTTTTTAAAACATTTATTTTAAAATTAAAGTTTATATTTTTATTAATATCATGTTTAATAATTTTTTGATTTTTTTGCATTTTTTTGATCTTTTAGCCTTTTTTTATTTTTGTGCCTTGCTTAAAAAAGGATTTTATGGCTGAAGGAGGGGGACAAAAATACAGCCTATTTTCAAACCTTGCTGAGGGGAAGGAGGAATACTATTTTAAGAATAGAAGATGATGACAGAATAGTTGATGATCAAAAGGAAAGAGTGGGGAAAATTCATGAGTTCTACTTTAATTTGTAAAAATCTGGGCATAGAAGGAGCTGTTTTTTATGAGATTTGGCCTTTGATAGAACTGATGAGAATTGGAGTGAGTGGTTGGAGAGGGTGTTTGATGAAGAGGAGGTTTGGGGGGCTGTGAAGAAAACGAAAGGGGATAAAGCATCGGGTCCAGATGGCTTTAACATTGCCTTTTTACAGCATGTTGGAGAATAGTGAAGGGGGAGGTGATGGGAATGTTTAAGGAGATGTGGGAGGAAAAAGTTAGAAAGAATGGCAAATGCACCATTTATCTCATTAATTCCAAAGGTGGAGGGGGTTCTGTGAATGAAAGATTTTAGACCTTTAAGTCTTATTTCTAGTCCATATGAAATTTTAGCAAAGGTGCTTTCCATAAGATTGAAGATGGTCCTTCACTTGGTGGCGGGTCCAACACAAATGGCATTTATACAACGGAGACATATTGGATGGAGTGGTAATTGCAATTGAACGTGTGGATGCAAGAATGAGGAGTGGTTTGGTGGGGGTGATTAGATAGACATGGAAAAAGCTTATGATCATGTGGAGTGGGGATTCCTAGAGGAGGTGATGGGGCTAATGAGTTTGGAGAAAAATTGGAGGAGTTGGGTTTTTGTATATATTTTATCAGTGTCTTTCTTTGGTGCTGGTGAATGGGATCTCTACTGAATTCTTTGGGTCTTCAAGGGGATTGAGAGAGGGGGGACCCTTTATCTCCTATATTTTTTGTTTTAGTGGTGGAGTAGTTGTGCAAATTAATTGCTAAGGGAGTGGAGGAGAAAGCTTGATGATTTCTCATCTTCAATATGCAGATGACATTTTGATTTTTTTGGATGCATCACCAGTGCAAGTGCTGAGTTTGGGGGGAATTCTTAAAGGGTTTGAAGTGCTTTCAGGTCTGAAGGTAAATTAAACAAAGGGGGTCATAATTGGATAGGGAATATGCAGCAAGATGTTTTAGAAGAGTGCCTCCTCTTTGTATTGCCTAAGAGGAATGCTTCCTTTCACTTATTTAGGTTTGCCTGTTGGTGTGAAAGCTTCAGCACTTTCTACCTGGCAACCAGTATTAGATAGAATTGACCAGAGACTGGCAGGATGGAAGAGGTATCTCTCATTTGGGGGGAAAGGTCACAATCATTAAAAGTGTTTTGTCAAGTCTACCAAGAAATTTAAAGGATGTAAAAGGTTTTTTTATGGAAGATAAAGTAACCCCAAAAAAGTTTCATTTGGGGAGGTGGGATTGGGTTTGTAGGGCAAAGAAAGAGGGGGATTTGGGAATCAGAAGGGTGAGAGCTTTTAATCAAG